AGTATCGCACTGTGAACCAAGTTTAATACACAGAAATAGTACAGAGATTGAGCTTTTAATTCATTAATCATTGCTTAACATTCAACTGTTAATAGACTATACTTCATTTTTACATTATTATTATTTGTCCCTTGGGTTCCTAGTGGAACAGAGGGCTTCACAAGCACGTCTCCATTGCACTCTGTTTTATGCAGTCTTCTCAACCAGGCTCCACGACTGCACACAAGCTTTGGTTGGGTATCTTCATCACCTCTGTCTTCTCTACGTTCACTTGAAGTCCGTCTTCGCTGCCCTACCTCTTCTATCAACTTGTTAGTTTTCGCCTGTAGATCTTCAAGTTTGTGCGAAAAGGCATGAGACATAAATCATCATCGTTGGCAGAATTCTAATCTTCTAGGCTGTTTTCCTATGTCCAGCGTATCCCCTATCTTTTCGCTTCTCACGGTTTGCTGCATGATCCAGTTGACCACAATCAGGAAGGTGGTCGATGATAGTAGGCTGCATTGTCTTTCTCCTGTCTTCACTTCAAAGACATCACTGAGCTTTCCGTTGTGAATCACTCGGCGTGCGGCGTCTTCGTATAGCTGTTGAATGAGGTTGATAAAGATTTATGGTACTTCATAGTGTTGAAGCAGCTGCCAAATTACTTGTCGGTTGACTCTATCGAAGTCGTTTTCAAAATTGATATGGTTGAGGGAAAGAGTTGACTGCCATTCTACCCTCTGTTTATGATTATGCGAAGCGTCACAATTTGGTCCGCACATGATTTGTTCTTCCCGAAGCCAGCCAACCAGCCAACTTGTTTCGGTAGTAATTTTGAATTCAAAGCATTGTTTAGTCTCTCCAGGATGATGCAGAATAATATTTTGCTTGAAGTGACAGGGACAGGAGCATGATTCCGCAACAGTTCTTACAAAGACTTGGGCCGCCCTTCTTTGGAAGTTTGACAAAGTACGCCTTCTTCCAGTCGATCAGCAGGTACCTTTCCTTCCTTCCTTCCTTGCAAACCTTCTGCAGTAGTGGTGTAAGCATGTCCGCTGCTGTTGTCTCTGCGTCTGTTTTCAGTGCTTCTGGTGGAATTCCATCAGGTTCTGCTGCTTACCCGGATTTCAGCAACTTTATGGCATTCAGGAATTCACTTCTGCCTTTTTCGGAGGGTTTGTGTTCACTGGTAGTTCTGTGGGTGGGCTGCTGGTAGTATTTCTTGGCGAGTTGCAGGTCATAGTCGATTCAAAGGTTTTTTGAAGTGGTCAGCCCATTGTTTCCTTTGTTTCTCCTCTTTGGCGGTAACTAGGTTTCCTTCACTGTCTCTCATTTGTTTCGTCTGGGTTGATCTTTTGCCTCCCAGATAGTAACCTGGTTATTTGATATAGTATTGTCAGGTCTCTGTCTCACTTACCTGCAACCTGTTTTCTTCTTCACTTGGCAATGTGTTGTAGAAGTGTCTTTTGACTTTGGGTGCACTCTTCTCTATTTCTTTATTCGGTGTAGTGTTTTATACGTTGTGTTCAGTTCCTCATTTCGTTGTTCATCCATGCAGTTCACTGCACTGGTTCATCTTCTGCTTCACCATCGGCATCTTCCTCTCCCTGATCTATCAGCTTCCATGTGTCTGTGTAGATCCATTCCTTGTCTTGTTTCCTCTTTTTTCCTAATACGCTTATGCAGGTTTCCTTCCACGTCACATCACTTTCAAAGAGTTTCAGTGTTCTTCCACGCCTGATCCTTCAGGGATGTTGCTCAGTGTCTCCCATTTTGTTCTGATGGCTGACGACGTGAAGATGTCCTTTGTAGTTTTGTCCTTCAGTTTCTGTTCTGTGTGTTGAACTTGAACTGTGGTCGTCTAGCACCAATTTGTTTGAATGCTTTCAACTTGATTTAGAAGGTAGGTTCCTTGCACTAGGTGGTGAGTGGTGTGAACCTACCTGCATCTGCTCCTCTTGTTTATCTTGTGTCCAGTAGGTTGGCTGCGTCTCCACTTTTTTCAGATTGAGATGAAGTCGATCTGATTTTTAGTGTGTCTGGTGTCTGGTGAAATCCATGTCGCTTTGTGGGTATCCTTGTGCTTGAACACAGTGCTTCCAATCACCAAATTGTTGATTGGGCAGAATTCTGCAAACAATTTTCCATTCTGGTTCATTTCACCGAGTGCTTCTCGACCTATGATGAGCTTTCTTGGTGTGTTGTCTGCTCCGAGTTTGGCATTGATGTCACCCATTAGAATTTTGATGTCGTTAACTGGAGTCTTGTCTAGTACCGATTGTAGTTGTCTATAGACTTGCTCCTTCTGCTTGTGATCTGCATTATTTGTGGGTGCATAGTAATGTGATTGTATGATTGTGACTTTCCTTCTTTTTGATTTGAATCTTGCTGTCATGATCCTGATTGTGGAGGAGATTGGTTACCATTGCATGGGAGCCTTCGATGCTGTTGGGGACATCATGATAGCCCCTCCAAACCTCAGTGTGTTCGTGGTTGTCGTCTGGGTGACAGTATCGGTGTAGATTATTGAGTGTCCAGTTGAGAGTTTGGAGAATCGACTTCCATTCTATCTGCTTTTGCAGATTCCAAGCACTTCCATGCCATACCTTCTCATGTTTTGCAATCTGGGCAGCTTTGGTAGTTTATACATGGTGCGGACATTCCATGTCCTCATCCTTACTTTCGCTTTGTTCGAGAGGAGACATATCGGCCGACTGGCTTCTCTGAAGCTTTTTCGTCTTTCCGATTCCAGGGAGGAATAATTTTGTTTTTATTTTTTATATTTTGTTTGTGCTTTGAAGTTTCTTTAGGGATTGGATTAGTTTTCTGGGGTAGGGTTGCCAGCTGTGTGCCCAACCTTCCCTGTATGCCTGGGCTTAGGACCGTCTAGTAACTAGTGAACTAGTTACTTAGGCGAAGTTCATGTATACATTGATAAGTTTTAACCGACTGTGGAGATCAATTTAATTGCGTTATAGTAATTAACTGTCCTCTTGTTTATTGATGGTTATCTACATTTATTGTGTATTACATGATAGTAATTCTTTGAATCTTGCTGCATATTGCATAATTATCGGTGTATCTACGCAGTTTCTGCTTCTTGATTGTTTGTCCTACATGAAATAATAAGCGGTAGAATAGGTTTCATTTTCGGCTTGCTCCTGAACCTTGGATCACAGTTAGTGAATACTTGTTGCAACACCATTTCACCATTGCTTGAACCGGTACATGGAAGACTGATAAGACAACAGACTTCTGGATTTGTTTGGTTCAAAAGAATAGATTGCTGGGTAAAGTAACTTCACCCACCTACCTTACTTACTAAAAAGAGCCTGTCAGTCTTCTGATACAACCTTCATAATTTTGATACTTCAGATTAGTTATTTCATGTATGTGACTTAAGAATGCTTTTACAACAACTTCTCGTGTGGTTTCATAGTTTTAGAAGGTAGATGGGATGAAACGATTACTAGGTTTTGATCACAAATGTCTTCATAGCTTCCTAGCGTTTAGTGGAATCACAGTGTAGGTAGTGTTGAGGTTAGGCGAAGGCAAGACAAGCAAGTCGATTGATGAGGATGTGAACCTTCATTGACTCAGATGGTTTGAACGTGTACTGTGCATGCCGAGCCAACACCTACCCGACGTGCAATGTGAGGGAAAGTCGATGAAATCGCTAATGTTGATCTGAGTCATGTTCGGAGACATAGACTGCCTGGTTGGGGTCCGTGAGACGAAAGGAATTAGTAGTTGAAGACTCGGTAAAATAACTGAGAATAGGTGACAATGGCGCAGATGTATTGACTCCTTGACATCTTCTTAAGCTTGGAAATTTTCACTAACCCCAGTCCTTCAGATTGTTGATTCTTTTTCACTGCTTTGTCTACTTTGATACCACTCCTTTTCTATCCACCTGTTCTTTGTGTACCACTGTGAAGTATGGCAACTTGGTCTGATGCACTCCAGTGCGAGGTTCTACGTTGGTTTTCTAAGTCAGTGTAAAAAAAGTCAAGATTTAGAGACCAATAAATCAGTTGGTGAATACCCAAGATAATTTAATCTGCTAATGCTTTATGGTTTGTGGTTCATACACTCTGCTTCTTAAAAATGCAATCGCCTTGAATATTAAATTAACAGCTAACATCTTACATTCTGAACAGTTTTGAATTTATAAAGTCCTAATATGTTTTATACCTTGTGGTCGAATCAGCAGATAAGTGGATCTGTAAAGTGTACTTGTTTATACAGTAATTAAGCATCCATTAGAAAGCAAGTAGTGTTTATTTTAACTTTTATTTTGCTACTAATATATTTAGTGAACCCTCTGATTATCAACCCATTGGGTAGTGCATTGAAATCTAATTGTTGTCTACTTCAGTCTGGTTGGTCGGATACTATTATCAGCTCTCCCCCCACCTCACACTAAGTATGGTTTATAGCCAACCAGATTAACGTGTACTAGATAGCTATTGCACTTTCCCTACATAACTCTTGACAATTATTTCGATTTGTCGTGTTTCTAATGAAGCTACACACCTTTTTGTAGATATTTGCACTTTTCTATGCTCCACTTGTTTTAGTAGATTAATCACAGGTTGTATCATCAGACGTTCTGTAATTGGATATTGTTGACTATTGAATGTAGAGATCAGACGTTTTTTCACTGAGTAGTTTTTTTTCCAGACTTTTGGATAGCTAGAGGTAGAATCCAGGACGCGTGTCTTCCATTTGCGACTCTTTTGTCAGCTGTATATGCCTGCACCCGGTGATTGACAGTATTCTCACTGAGACACAAACCTCATTACCCATCGCTATCAGCTAAACAACTATGACACGAGAACCACCTTCGCGACACCGCCTGGATATTCACTATATATGTGTGCATATATTGTAGTTTGTTTTCACTTCCAGCTTGAAGGAATTTGAATGCATATCAATTAATGTATACTTCCCTGCGTATAATACTTATCTTGATTTACCTTTTTTTCTCATTATTATTATTATTTTTATATATATAGAATGAAGGTATGCATGAAAGTTGCTTCACAACAGCTCTCCAGTGTATTCGAAGTACTGGTCTACGTTTAGATAATGTGATGAAGAATACTGGTAAACGTAAATATGCCTTCAATCGACTTCAACTGTTATCCTTTCCAAGATTGTATAAACCGCCAATGGGAACATATTCATCGAATGTTTTATCATAGGAAGAGAAAACACACCGTTAATAATAACACGAGTATTGATTACTTTACACTCATTTTCTTTATTTTCCTCGGTTTGTCTACTTTTTCTTTCTAGTCTCTTTCCACTTGAAAATATTTTATCTCTGGTGTAGTTTACTTGGGATTTTGAGTTATTGTGTTCATCTGGGCATTTTTTGTCCCCATCTCAAGATTTATTTATCCATTATTATTTTGTTGTACAGATTTGTATTGTTCACATACATAGTCGTGATAATTGTGTTATTCATTTGAATAGATGAATAAAAAGTTAATTTATGCATTTGCTTATGTGTACTTATTAGGATGGAAGAAACGAAGGATACGATTTTGGTAAATATACATGGGGAAGAGATAATTAACGTGTAGACTGAATGCGATTGAGATATGATTGTAAATATTTGGATCTGAGAACATGAATTCTTCTCATTGTTTTTTGTTACTCTTCAAGTTTAAGTTTCCCTGGGTACTTAATCCGCTGCTCGTGGGTGTGTGTAACGTGCTATGCTGGACGGTGGGATAGAATGCGTCTCACACGGGATGAAAAGTATAAGCCCTGTCACCCCGCGGAGGGCTATATGCCTTTCCCAGCATATATAAGACTTTCTAGACTGAATTGACTGGCGTACTCAGATATGTTTCTTGGTTAGGGTTTGCAGGTCAATGATGATGTTCAATAAAGACTCTAGGTACCTAACCTAGTTACCCATTGCTGCAACACTGAAATTATCGATAGTTATGACTGCTTATCAGATTGCTAGGATTTATTATTCTTAAAACATGTTTCACTCGGCTTGTTAAATGCAGTGGTGTGTTTCTGTGTCCTGTGTTCAAATAAGACTGCAGTCAAGGGGTGATTAAACCTAGCTACCACTTATGAACCCCCGAAATTCATAAATAAATATATTCAATCGAAACAAGAGAGTACATGTCAGCCTGATTAAAGTCAATTTTTCTAAAATTAAAACCAAGACGAAGGTAACATATTCAATTCACAACAATGAATTGGAGACAACTACTTCAGGATTACTGTAACACCAAACCAAGCAGTGAGAGAAAGAGAGCAGTATATAGTCCGTGACAGTGCAGTAAGGTAATTAATGCGCAATAGCTTATAATATGTGACTTTGAGAAGCAGAGTCAATGTACCAAAAGCAATCTAAACGAAATCAAATAATACCCCGTTGCTATATTCCGTTGAACAGCTTGAACTCTGTTGGCATATAGGCCCCTACGTGGATGCCTCGGTCCTGAAGAGTAACCATTATATTATATTTATTTCGGTGACTAGCAGTGGATCCAGGACGTGCGTTTCGTCTTGCTTGGGACTCATCGGCTGGGTATACCTGCACCTCAGTAAGTGGTGTTCTCACTGGGACTCAAATCCAGTACCCTTCGCTTCAAAACACAAAGGGATATCCACTAGGTACATCCATCTGATGATTCCTTAGAAGGAGAGAACATGCATCTTGAAATTCACTGCTGGCCACCAAATAAACTAGAACGTAATGAATAATCAGGCATCCGCATTGGTGTTCATCATCCAAAAGGGGTCGAGCAATTCGACCCACTAGCTACGGGAAATCGCTGGTATTAATCGGTAACAACGTATCCATTACACAAGAGGTGGCTCTAGCAGATGACGGTTTGGCGTGTGAACCGTTGAGTGCTGTGTTCGAGTCATTGAGGACACTGGTACTCACTGATGTGTGAGTACATCCGGCTGACGAGTCCCAAGTAGGACGTGTTGTGCGTCTAGAAATAATATTGGTTGTCTTGGCAAATATGAGGCTTACTCAGTTTTCTGAGTTTATGCACTTCACACATTCATTGGAACATGTCAGAGCAATTACGGCTCGCGGAGATCCTTTCAAACTGTATATGTAATATGGTCGAAGCTATAGAAGACTCGAAATTACTGCAGGTATTCAAAATGTTGTTCCAGCCTGGATTAACGCGCTGCAGCTACACAAAAGCCGTCCTACAATTGTGATCTGACACCACACCAGTTATTCGCCCCAAAAGACATGTTCTATACGCCTCACACCAAATTGTGGAAGCTGAGTTGAAAAGACTAGAAAATGCAGGAGTTACAACTCCAGTAACCTATATTTCGTGGGTAGCCCTATCGTTGTTATTAAAAATGCAAATGGTTCCATCCATAATTGTGTTTCTTTCTCGACAGATTTGAATGCAGCTCTAGAACATCACCATTAATCGCTGCCAGTTCTGGATGACTTGTTTAGTATTTTAAATGGTGAGAAAGTCTTTGCTAAGGTTGATTTATCTTATATATACCTGCAAGTCAAAGTTTCGGAATGGTGCCGCGAGCTTTCAGCGATAAACACCGAGGGTTATTTCATTACAACAGGTTACCCTTTGGAGTTAAGACTGCCCACACCATATTCCAGCAATGAATTGACACCATCCTGGTTAGCATTCCGGGAGCTTCTACTTATATGCATGATTTACTGATAGTCGCAGTGTTCCCTGAAGAATTGGGAGAGCAAGTACAACTTGCGCCACAGAAGATTGCTGACAACGGACTACGACTTAGAGCAGAAAAGTGTCAACTTTTCCTACAACCGACGCTTCCTTCTTCATTGGATAATTTCTGGGAACCACTAAATCTCCTGTTACAGATAGACCATCCGGGGATCCGTTCCAAAAAGTGAGATGAAGCTATCCAACGACTGAAATACATCCTCGCTTCTCAGCTGTTACTTTCGCATTATGATCCGAAACTACTCATTATAGTCGCAGCAGACGCTTCAGTTACCGGAGTAGGTGCCGTTCTATTGCATGAATTTCCTGATGGGGAGCAAAAGGCTGTTGTCCATATCTCACGCTGCCTCTCTTCAGCAGAAAAGCGATGCGCACAGATAGGGAAGGAGGCTATCGCTTTATAGTCTATGCAGTTCGAAGGTTTCATAAGATGCTGTATGGTAGAAGATTCATCTTACTAACAGATCACAAGCCCCTCCTTTACGTATCGGGCTCGAGGAGAGGCAACCCAGTCCACTCTGCAAACAGATTACATCGATGGGTGGTGGTCTTATGGGGGTACGACTTCAACATTAAATATAGCGGGACAGATTCTGCCACGCAGGTGCTCTCTCGCGCTAAATGAGAGAAACGCGCTTAAACGAAGAAACAGTTATTGCGGCTGTGAAGATAGAAAGATGTGTTCGGAGTTTGCGGATATGTGCCGTCAAGCAGCTGCCCATTACAGCAGAGCAAATAAGGCGGGCTGCGCAAGGAGATGAAACTTTGCAATAAGCTATGGGATTGGTCCGAATCTCTTAGCCATTATCAGTGTCAAACCTGGACCTCAAACAATTATTCTTCCACCTCCACGTCCTCATCATCGTTAATGAGTGCTTAATGTTCGGAAAATGAGTGGTTATACCGGAAACCTTGAGTAAAACATCCTTAAGACTGTTCCATAACGGACACCCAGGTATTGCGCGCATGAAGTCTATCACCAGAAGTTATACATGCTGGCCATGTATGGACGCTAATATAACAGAGTGTGCTGACCTGTGTCACTCATGTCAAGCTGTGGCCAAGAATCCACCTCGAGAGCAGCCTCGAGCATGGCCTCCATCACAACCATAGTCTCTAATACACTTGGATTTTGCCGGAACGGTAGATGGTGTGCATTACTTGGTTCTTGTGGACACCTATTCAAAGTGGCTCGAGGTAGTTCTGATTACCTCACCCTCTAGCAGCCGAACCATGACAGGTCTCACTCAAGTTTTCGCTTACCATGGCATAACGGAGTGCATTGTATCTGACAATTTATGTCTCAAGTATTTCAAGATTTTTGTCAAAGAAATGGTATACGACACGTGCAGTCGCCACCCTACCACCCTCAGTCCAAAGGCCAGGCAGAACGCTTTGTGGATACCTTCAAACGGAACGCATGTTACCTACTCATCATTATTTCATGTTACCATCGTCACCAGTTCAACACAAAAATATGGTGGGATATTTTCAGAAAGGAGAGGCGCTCTAGGCTCGCGACTATTGACCAGGAAGACGAAAATGGGCGGAAGGTTTGATTGCGGGTCAACGAAGAACTCTGATGTACGAGGTCAAAGTGGGGCACGAAAGATTGATGGGATACAAAAATCAGATACGACGTCGCCACACCACGTCCTCAGAAACCGGGATACCATTAGATCTGCTAGTTGAGACTTTCTAACTTCCTCCAGTCGATGTAGAATTAACTCAACGGGAGCCGAAGATTAAGAAGGAGTTTTTACTCAGAAGATCCGATCGCAAAAGAACTCGAACGGTACACTTCCAAATTGACCCGAAAAGATAGAGGTACTAAATTTCGATGTTGTACATGGCCATTATTTTAGGGCAGGGTGCTATATACCCCTAACTTTGCATAGCTTTTGCCTGCTGTTTTGCCCATGACCTTAAAATAACCTACAAGGGTGTTTTCACAACGTTACTAGTTTTTCTTCCTTCTCCTCTCAACGCTGAATTCTCATTGGCTGTGAACTATTTTTACCTATATGTAGATTGTGTTTTCAAGGTCGTCACCTGTATTAAATGTCGTTGAGACAGTTAAAGCTCTGCGTCAACTGTCTGTCTTCTCTTCTTGTCTTCGTATGTCAGTGGTATTGTTGTTGTAGTGGTGGTTGACGTTCTGATTTGCTTTAGAGTCGATTCTTTGCGCACTAGATTCGTAGTCTTCTGGGTTCGTATTGCTCTTAGGGTGTTAGGTCTCACTATCATTTTTATTATCGCTTAAGTCGCTTTTCATTTGTAGGTGATGATTACAGAAATCAAAATCTGAACCATGGTGGGATTCGAGTCAGCGACCCCACGGTTACCGGCCACGATGCTCTACCAACTGAGCTATGAGACCTGGCTCCTAACGAGTTCTGAATTTCGCTTTAACCACCCCTGCCAATCTAGTCAGCAGCGGGGTCTCGTAGATCATTTGGTAGAGCACCGAGCTAGTAACC